TGACATTCCAAATGATCACGTGTAGTCACGAAAAACTGCATTTTCAGGCTGAACGAAAGAAAAAATAAATCTGAAACCTACCGATGTCATTCAACAATTATATTTGTGTGCCAATTTCTGTTCTTCGTGAGATAAATCACTTTGTTTCAAGGGCAATACTGGCAAAACAACCCATGGAAATCACCTGATGCTTCAGCAAAGTTATGGGAAGATGCACCAAGCATATTGCCAAGGGTAATAAAGTATTCTAAAACCTCAAAATACTTTGTACAAAGCAATATATAAATTCACCCAATCTTACAATAAATCAGGGCTGGGCAAAATTACGACTTTTTGAGAGTGGGGGGAGGTAAAGTTGTTCTCATACTTAATTAAAGACCATGTCATAGAAATATGCTGTTGGTGACAGTGATGATAACAGATTGCCAAATCATGCATAGTCCTATAAATAATTTTTTAACCGATCCAACACTGCAAAATTCCAATGTGAATCCCAAAAGTACGCTTATTTCCAACTGCTTACACGATTGGTCACATGCAATAAAGGATAGGCTGGTTTGGGTGACCACGTAGAGCATGAATAAATTGTGGTCATGTGATGAACACAAGCAGGAAACAGCAGAGGGGCAACATCTGGAAAGGAGTAGCAGCAGAAGGGAACTCTTACTGTTCATCATATTCTATTGCATTCTGTTGAGTAAATGGCTACTGATATTTATTTCATTCTTGAAAATAGTGTTGTGTTGACAAGAATGAAATCAACATTATCTACTTTAGTATTCATTCTCTGGGGGGTGTGAGGAAATCGTGAAAAAGACCTGACAGAAAAACTGGTTCCCAGATGTGATCTGACACAAGTACCTCCTACATACAAAACCGACACAATTCTATGCAAATGTGCAGATACAATTTCTTCATACAAAATAAACAGAACTGTATAAGAATTGAGTTTTCACAGTGTGAACGTTCATATTGTGGTCTTCTGTGATATGACACCGTGCAGTCTGATAGATGGGTACCACAGTATTGAGGAATACTCTGCCTCCATCTTCAGGGCTGAAAAGTTAGAAGCCTTCTACCATGAAAATGGTGGCAGTATATTCCTCTAAAATGTTGGTGCCTGCCTACCACACAACATGTCATAATCCGGAAGACATTACACGAAACTGGATGAATTAACTGCAATAAAAAGGGTATATTTATATGTGCCAGCCATCACTCTACAGTGCAACTTACACAAACTCATTTCACAAGAAATCTGTCATGTGGTATACTGCGTGCATAAGCACAGTGAATTCCTGCAGGTTTTGAACCAGAACTGGAATCACCAATGCAGAATATCATATTATTGCTAATACTAGCACTGCAGAGCCTGAAGGTTCAACACCACAAACACTTCTGTCATTAAACACAATACTGAGCCAGCGCCATTCACCTCCAATCCCCACAATCCATCTTCCGATGATCTGTCCTCTCTCTTTATTCTTTCATGTGGATGCTCCCTCGATTTCCTCAGTAAAATCCTGCAGTCTTTGTTTCCCCCTTCCCAGTCATATTCCTAAACCATTTGCAGTCTATCCTGATGCACTATTCTAACAATATTGCCATAAACCATGAAATCCTCACCGTGTAATATCCTAAACTAGTCACTTATTTCATCTTCTTAGGTCCAAACAGTTTCCTGAGCACTGTGTTTTCAAACAATTCTACATGCTTTATTCAAATCAAGACAACTGGAAACACATGCTTCTGTGTACTGTTCTTCAGAATTCTGCAAAACAGATGGGGACAGTAACAGTTTACTGACCTGAATAACAATAAGCACTTCCAAACTTTATTCTTTTGAACAGTTTTGTCATGAATCTATTTTTTGATGTTGTTCCAAGACCCTATTTTCTTAATTCTTCCAGACTACAACAGAAGTGTAATCTACAATTAAACATATTTAGTAATGTAAACATTTTACATCCACAATACTATTGTAACATATATATATATATATGAAACATATATGTGAACAGTGCTATGGGCTGGACGACCGAGGGGTTGGAGTTCTAGTCCCGGTAGGGGCAAGAATTCTCTCTCCTCCACATCATCCAGACAGGCTCTGTGGCCCAACCAGCCTCCTACCCAGTGGGTACCAGGGGCTCTTTCCCCATGGGTAAAGCAGCAGGGGTGTTAAGCTGACCATTCACCTACAGCTAATGCTGAGGTCAAGAAAATGTGTATCTATACACCCACACCCCCCACACACCTTCATGGTGTATTGCTTAATTAATTAAGCACAGGGACAACTTTATGTCTTATATGTGAAGAGTTCTATCCTGTGGGGTACAGCACTGTGCAATCCATTGAAAGTCAACCAGCATAAAGCAGATTTTGCCACCTGCTGCATGCTGGTTTCTAGCTTGACTTACTCTTCAACCCTGACACACATCCCTCTGAAACACTGGCTAACTTTCAATTGACTACATAGCATTATCTACCGGAAGACAGAATTCTTTGTAACCACTGTTGTGAGAACTTCAGATCCTGCAAATATAAATGTGTATGGCATCTGCAGAACTTAGCTGAAACTGCTAATTTCATAAACACACGTACACACATAAATTTTCATTATTATAAATTCAAGTTTGTAAGGTTCTATTTTGGCGTGACTTAAACAGGCAACAATAATTAAAGTGTTGTAAATAATATGTGAAGTCTAATCTAAAATGCATAATGGAAATCTGAAAACATAATTATCACTATATCAGATTTGAGGTTCTCATGGTGGTATTAAAATTATGGTCTTCTTGATTGACACTTTACAGTTTTGTAGATAAGTGCAAACGTTTCTGAGGAATCCGCTGCCTCCATTTCAGGGCCAACCCTGGATATGGTTGCCAAACCATGCATCAGGAGACTGTAGTCAGTACAGATCAGAACAATGTAATCACAATGAATATTTCTAGTTTACCACACCCTGTTCTTTCTATGTACCTGTATAATAACATCCAGAGGTGGTACAGCACTGTTCTGTTATGTATACTGGAAAATTAAACCTTTACATTCCACCTACTTCATCATCTCCACCTCTAATGATGGAAACTGTGCCAAACTGTAAGGAATGCAAACCCAACAGCCTATGTAGTTGTTCCTCATGTCTCAGAAATCATCTGGCAGAACCTTTATCAGAAGCAAACTTCTATCCCTACAGATGGAGGCACCGTGTTCTTTAGAAAGCTGGTGACACACAAAATGTCAGAACCCACAATCTTCACCCTTATCTTATTTCTCGCATGTGTATTTACACAAAGAAAGATGTAAATATTATTTCCCACACTTCCATTAACATGAATAACCTAACCAGACATACTTTTTCACAAAAACATTAATCTTGCAAGCCTACTCACTATGTTCATAACATCCCACAACAATGTAAAGGTTATCTTAGGCAGGGATTGGTAACCATGTGCCAGCAAGTGCCTTCGAGCACTAAACAGGAATTTTTGGTGCCTCCAAGAATTTTAAAATGTTCATAACTTCTTAACTTTAATGATCACAAAGCCATGTTAATGATTCTCTGACCAATGCAAAGGAGTTGTATATGTTCAGATGGCGTTCACATGTCACATTAACTGAGGGATTTGCGTATACTTCAAGGTGACAATCTCTAAGAGAACAAATTATTATTCAAAAGGTATTTCTTGTATAGCATGCCAAAGGACTCTTTAGAAAATAATGTAGTTTGAGAACATAGGGTGCACGGATACAATTATTTCAAGTTGCCTCTTTTTTTTCCTGGTAGATTCATATGGTGCCCACTGCAAATTAAAGGCTTCTCCTAGTTTTCAATTACCCAAAAATAGTGGTGGGCCCCTATTCTAAGGGATAACATGTATCAATCCCAAATTTAAATAAAGAATGCATATTCATCTATTTTATAAAATAACATTATACCAACTACAGCATAAACGCACCTCCGACTTCCATAACCAGTATTTTCATGCTAAGTTTAACAAATGTAATAGTTCTATGGCACTGCAGTTATTTATAAAACATAAACTCATTTATTAAAACCATGCAATGGAAATATTCATCAACAGCTGGTCATGATTTACTTACTATAAGTTTAACATTTTTGCGATTAGGCTGATGGAAAACGATGATATGAATAAATATAAAAATGTTGCACAAATATCAACGCAGGACATAACCTACAACCTCACAAACAAGTGTCACCATTTACAACTAACTTCAAAATTATACATACAATCCTTGCCCTTTGCTTCAATCATTGCACAAATCCAACATAACTCAATATCCTGCAATACACAAAATACTGTGAAGTAAATTAAGTATGTTCACATAAATGCTGTATTCTGGGATGAATCGGGCATGTTATTATGCTGCAATATCACTGACCAAACTATTTAAATTTAAAATATTACACAACCCAATGTTCGGTAATGGTTTAGGTTTACATTTCCTCTAAGCAGAAGAATTTATAGAACTAATCATTTTCATTAAACCCTTCTGGGTTGTTTCGTCGGTGATCCTGATTGTACGGCAACATGTTCACAGATTGTAAACATTGATATACTACACTTCTTTGCCATTTGCAGTTAAAACTCATCATGAATATGGTCAATTCTTTCAACATAACGTTTAGAAACATGGAGAAATTGCTCAGCGTTCTTGATAATATAAACATATTCATTAGGATCCAACAAAACTGAATACTGTCAAAAATGTCAACATCTTAACCCAACTTCCAGCAGACGACATGGGTGAGGAGCAAGGATATTTTAGCCAGATAAGGCAAAGAACATTATTCAGACGCATCATATAAAGTTGTATACCATGAATTTAAGTTTCCTATAAATATACGGTAACCTTTTGCCAGAATAACTACAATAATATTCGTAAGGTAATCGATAGAAATGGCGACTGAGAAAATCAATCCTGTACAAGGGAAATGTACCATCCCACTTTTCTATGGATATCGTAACACTCACTTTTTATAACCCGCTCCGTTGTGGAAAGCTTCGTATTGTTTGCTGACATTTTACAGTTTTCTGACAATTTTACTACACCATAAACATTGGATGTTCGAGAAAACCACTGATTTCACAAGCTAAAACCTACTGTTCCACAAGATGTCGCTAACTCAAACTCCACTGCACTGCGTCTTGCGCATCTTTCTGCGCACGGAAATTATTCCCACCAGTCTTCGAATACCGCAAACACCCTAAGAGTGGCGCATCTGGGCGGGACATTTGAATTGCTTGAACTTGTTTAACATGGCGAATTAACATCTATCAATGTAGTTCATCTCAACAAATTTAAAACTAACTGCTTACATCATACTTTAGAATAAATCGTAAAGAATGATTCCGAATTTAAAATCTAATTAAGATGTAGGTTTGTGAATAAAGTGAATTAGTGGAAGTATTATACACAAAATACAATGTATAAAATCAGCATTTTTTTTTTTTTCAAAAAAAATATTTGCTGGTACTTTCATACTCTGTTTTAGCTGTATGTCGAAATATACAATTCACCAGCTGATAAGTCCTTTCTGAAAAATTTGCTGGTATGTGGCGCAAATAGCAGCTGAAGGAGAATCACTGTGTATAATAGCAATTTGGAGAGCTATTGTGTTTCAAGGGCTGATAATTCACAGCAGGCTACAAAGAACTGATCTTTATAAAAACAAATTGACTCGCATAAATTTGTATTTCAAGAAATTCATGATTTGCGGAACTCACCAAAATGCTGAGCTGTAGCTTGGGAATAACATTTTTATAACGCTTGTCTCATCTTACTTAAAAATATACATACAAAATTTGGGACATGGTTCAAACCAAGCCACTAGCTAATGGCATGCAACTGAATTAACTGTATTTTGGGTGTAAGAAACAAATATAAGCAGCTTCCCTGGCAATATCTTGCCAATCTACATGCGCTGGAATTGGTGCCAACAGATTTAAGACTTTTTTAAATCTCTCAGTATTCAGTAATGCATCTTGGTTGTACTATATTACTGTCATTGTCTTTGGAACACAATGAAATGAAGCTATTGTAATTGCCTATGAAGTCATGTCTGAAAAAGAAAAGGATATAATTCTTCTCTTTTTACACTGATGTTACTGTTGAACAAGTGGCCGTGACATAGCTGAAGCAGTTAGTCGCTGGCTACCCACCGCGGCAGCCCGGGTTCGATCCTGGGTCTGGTCAAGTGGGACTTTTGGTGGACAAAGTGGCGCTGGGGCAGGTTTTCTCCAAGTACTTCGGTTTCCCCTGCCAATCTTCATTCCACCAATTGCTCCACAATCACCCTCACCTATCATCTAGGGCTGGTACAATAGGCCAGAATTGGCTGCAGTACAAGGGACTTAGTCCCACCCCACTAGCATTAAAACACAATTACTGTTGAACAACACCTGAAAATGTTGTAAAAGCAGCTATAATAAAATGTAACTTGCTGTCTAAGTATATGTAGTTTACTTAATTTATGTCTAGGCATCCTGCTGTAGTTGGTGTTAAAATTTATTTTCAGGTTCGTTTACTGTCCACCATGCAACAGTATCAAAATATAAATTAAATCCTTTTAAAATTTGTCAGTGCACTACATGTTTCAGCCTACTTGGCCATCATCAGTTTCATTGAAATTCTGGGAAACTACAGCGCATCCCATGCTACTGCTATCGGTTTTCATACTTTCAATGTTTTTAAATGTCAATGTAGTTCCTCCTTCTATACCACATATATAGTCTTTTTTGGTATGTTCATTGCTTATCAAGGTTTCAGTGTGAATGTTATGAGTACACAGTAAGTGTATTGTGTACCTGAAAGGATCCAAATGGTGTGACTGGATGAATAAATAAGGAATACATGGGCAAATTCTTTGACTGCTTTAACAGTAAATGACTTTATTTATACAAGTAAAATTAATTAAATCAATTGGCAGAGGCAGGCACTGCCTAGGCATTTTTTCTATTTACAAATACTTTTCACAATAATAATAAATTCAGGGGAAAGACCAGGTTTTCATATAATCTACGCCTATTATCATTTGAAAGTCATTTCAGGAAGTACTGTCAGTTCTTATGTCAAACCTCCATTGACCCTCAAGCAGTTTTGGAATTTCTAGCAGGAAGTTCTATGGTGTGGCTTGGCAGCCAAAGGTTCGGTGTCTGACCACCTATTTCTTTGGAGCAATTCGACGTGGAATTGTGGATCTCCTACTGGAAGTACTATCTGAATCAGTTACATCTGACTGTGACCAGCGTCGGTGAGAGTTTTCAGTATTCAAGGAGCAAATATCGGGAATATGCAATAACTTATACACCCTCCAATTTCTAGCATTTTCATTCAAAAATACCACCAGCTTTTTGTAACCATAACACCTTAATTCTTTAGTCAAATTATCCCAGCATGATATGAAATTGAGTATAAATTCACCACCTTCCTTAACTACAGGTTTCAGTTTGTCAGCTTCATCTTCCAAGAACACTTTAAGGGCTTCTGCAATTCTATATACATCTTGCATTTCTGGTAATGGGCCAACCACTGTTTGCTTAGATGACTGTAGGCTGTCCCAGTTCAAAGAAGAACTTAGTTTCTTTGCTGTCCCTGTTCTTGGTACAGGGATTGATACTATCGTATTTTCAAGCATCCCTATTACAACATCCAGTTTTTCCAATGTCCTTCCTTGTAGGCTGAAAACATCAGATGTGATGGTTATCCTGCTGCGTGCAGTCATTGAACCAAAGAAAACCTTGCGAGTCAGGGTTGACTGAATAACTGGCATTTGTTTCAATTTTTTATACTCCTTGTGCACAGCAACACGGCGATTCACATTTGTGAACAAACTAAGCAAGTCTAATGTCTCTCCATTATCTTCTAATTCTTTGCAAAGCTCCTGGATAAACCATGTACCACCTTCAACATGACGAAGAGCAGCACGGCCTGTAAAAAGAAAAGTGAATCTCTTACATCAGGATAAAGTAATGGATTTGAAAACCGATTTCATAATACAAAGTCTTCTTGAGTAGCTGACTATTCAGCTGGTCAACATATTCCCTGCTTATCTGGAGCTGAAAGTGTGGCCATCATGTTCACAAAAATTTGCCACTAGAATGTAACTGGAAGCCACTCAATCAATTTAACACTTTCAAACCCTATTCTCCAAGATTCATTCTAATAGAGGTAAAAGAAATAGTTACTTGTTCATTACTGTCAACTAAATATTCTGTCTGACATATACTAGTATTCAGCATTTGAGAACTGTCTTTTGGAGTTCCAGCAATCTCATTGGCCAAGAGTGGCAGAGATAAAATGATGTATCACATCCAAAGATGTTAAGTTTAATATAATTAGAAATCATCACAATTAATCCTTCCTAAAATCTGATTTTCCCCTTTATTTTACACCTAATCTGTAGGGTTTTGGAAGAATAGTATAATAACAGGAAGAAATCTGCAGAAGCAAAGAGCCACAGTAAGGCACCCCTCACTGGTAACAAAATATATGTTCCACTACTAGATCTTCAGAAAGTTTGTGACTCCTGCATTTTAATATCATCATTATCACCATCACTACCACCACCAACACCCAGTACCATTGGCAAAACATCCATTTTTAAGACATAATCTTCCTTAGAAGATTCAGTCAGACTTGTCTATTCTGTTGTGATTTCAACTATCAGGTTTTCACATCTTTGGATTTTGTAACAGTAATTTTTTTACAGAGCAAGGTAGTCAGCCTTGCATCCATACGCCAAACTGGGGGAACCAGCTCCAGAACCATTTTGGCTACGGTGGACAATACAAAAATCCCTGTTACTACTGGGAATTGAACCCCAATTCCATGGTTGTCCAGCCCATAAACTAGTCACTATATTGACTGAGTTACATATGCTAAAAATAATTCAAAGGAAGTTGATGCTTTGTCTGTACATATACTATGAGATAGGCTGGGGATATACAATGTACATAAAATACTGTAAAATATATGAAAAATAAAAAAAGTACTTTTATTTGGCTGTTGGTTCCAGATTTATAAGATATTCTGTATTTTAACCATCTGCCACACTATTTAGTTTGCTGTATGATTGATTGAAACCCTCCATAATTAAAATACATTTTAGTACACTAAGCATAGGAGGAGATATTTCATTTTCCTGTATGGCACGACAAAGTGTTAAAAAACCATTTTATGAACATTAAATAAACATATGACAATAAATCAAATTATTTATCCACACAACAAAATTAACAAACGTTTAAGCTGTCAAGTAAGCAGATAAATAGGAACTGACCTTCATATGTGCTGAATGCAACAAGTAAGTCAGCTTCCACAGGAATAGAATAGCGATGCGATGCTTCTGTGTTCATATTGTGGCTGTCTATCTGAATGCTGCTTTTAAAGCTCATACCCTCTGATGCCTCCTCTCCTCTGCATGCCTGCATTATAAATATTAATTATTTAAGTCAGGGGCTCTCAGTCATTGTGACACAATGATCTTCTACAACAATACGTAAATGTATCAACATTCCCACCTGTCAGTCAAATGTTCAGTTCTGCATACTGTTGGCAGTCCCTTTAAGGCTATACAGTGACAACAGGAACATAAATAACTTTACATTTTCTCCACCTACAGTAAGATATAGAATGTTCCCGTAAAAACATGACAGAATTTGTGGAATGTACTTCTGACCCCAGCTACATTGCTGAAAGCACCTACATTGAATATTACTGATTTACTGACTTGGCAAAATTGTGCATGGATATGGCTATACTTTAAATAATCCTGGAGAATCCGATGAAACTTCTACAGTTTGTCACAACTCACTGAGGGGTTGCAATCCAGTTTGAGAAAAGTTACACAACACCCTTAGTTCATATGCAGAAAGGCAACTTAAGTCTACTACTTGGGATTACTGGATTTTGGACTTTATCTATCATCTTGTACTCTAAAGAACATGATATTCTGGAAACAGAGTTTGCATCCACCCTCATACCCAAAAACCCAGAAATCCCAAGTGGTGCACACGATGTATTTAAATCTACTAGAAACTTACAGCAACGCACTTCCTTTTACTCTTACAGTATGTTTCATATAAATACTTCAATATATTTAATTAAGATCAGAAAACAGAAGTAATACATTTTCTGACTTGCTTTCTGTATCTTAAAAATGAAAAGCAACTATCTATTTCTTAAGTTTTAATACATTTAGACTGAGGCTAAATTATTTGCTTGCCAACAGTTTCCATTAATTCAACCATGGTGTCTGGGGAAGCATATTTTTAGAACTCTGCTCGAAGTTATATAAACTAAGTGCATGAATAGGTGAAGAACATGGATATTCTAAAATTATCTTAGTTTCAAATTTCATATATTACATTGAGAACTGCTTTATGGTAGTGATGGGCTAAAACTGTAATTATTGTTAGGCAAAGCAGTAGAAAGTGCAGTGCTAAAAGCAGGATCAGGTTAGATTTCTAACTGGCCCTAACTCAATATATCCTCACTAAAGGTCATGGAATGTGATGGACAAAATACAATGGACTGATGAAAACCATACAAAGGAGAGGGCAGGAAATAAATTGAAATATTGGTTCACAGACTCCTGTACATATATATATACATAATAGCATGTATTTTTATAAACTATTAATAAACTCATGAAGTAATGAATGAATATTAAAGGGCCATAAATGCCCTAAGATACTCTGAAAACCGAATAATCCGCACAGACAGTGGGGGGTACAGAATATTCTTTTGTATTTCTTTCTGCTGATATAATCACTCAGTTTTTCCAGCAGAAGTAAGAAATACAAGTATGTTCAGTTTGTGGGACATGCAAAGGAAATCTCAACAGTTCTGTGAGCTTAAACCCAGAAAACAGTTTTCTGTAATCACTGACATTAGTAAACACAAACAGGTCTCTGAAATGTGTTCTAGTGATGGTTCTCTAGTCAATTTCTTTTACAGGGCACTTTCCTAAGAACACTCTTACACTTTGTACACTTACTTGGACAATAAACAGTTTTGGTTTTCCACCCAGTGATGGGCAGACATCTCCTGTGAAACTTGACCACAGCGTATCTGCCCTGTAGAAGTCATCATACGCATAAAGCTTGCCTTTTCCTTTCCCATGAGTAAGCACAGCAACAACAATGCAGTCTTCATTTTTGTGGTCATCTTTTGAAACTGTAAGCATGGACATTCAGAGTACATAATATATTCATACTACTAACAATCTGAATAACTGGGTGGGCCATGTGAAAGCAAGATATAAGTTAGTTACATGCAAAATTTTGGTTAGAAAATTCGAGGTAAGGGATCATTTGAAAGGCCTGATCAGCTGGGAGGTTAATATTGAAATAGATCTTAAGAGAACTTTGTTGTGAAGACATAAAATGGACGGAACTGGCTTACAATTTTGAGCTTCTATGCTGATGTCAGTGTACCTTCAGGTTCCACACCATAAAGTGACTCCATCACTTGAATAAGGAACAATTAATTAATTAAGCATTACAACATGAATATGTATGTAGAAGTGAAAATACAGCATCATGAACTTTCATCTTCAGTACTAGATGAGATGAATGGTGTAACTTCATATTCTGGCCAATGGCCAAATTTGAAACAGATTATTTTAGGACATGATAATACTAAGGATTTTTAAATGGTGTTAAGAATAAAATTTTAGTACACATAATAAGTGATGAAGATATCTTTATGAAAATTTAAATAATTGGTATCATCACAATGTGAACCTCTGAAGATGCCTGAAAAGCCAATCTATAAATTAAAGGTCTACTATTCTGTCTCATTTTCTAGTGACTGTGTGTTGATGAAAAGAACAGAGCAGTTCCCAATGACTTTTTAATATCTAATGTAATACAAATATGGGCAGGGGTCAGTGGATAGCCAGTCTGCCTGCAAAATAGAGGCAATAAGGTACCCTGAAACATAAGAAATACAGCCTATATCCTACACAGTTCCACCTCCAGAAACAGAATTTATATTATCTCTGAACTAACTACAATGCCTACAGTCTTCAGGTGAACATGCAGGGTGATAGGTCAAACAAACAATATTTTATATCCTGAATAACGTGTTTTGTTACTGATTACGCCGTTCGGATTGTTAACCTACAACCTACAAGTAATGGCTACAATTAATTATAACAATGTTGCGGGGTTTCACAATTTATAACCCTATTCACAAATCAAATCACTCTATTGTCAGTAGGCTACACGTATTAATAACGTGGGAGCTATACGAGTCTCTCTGAATTACACACTTCAAATATAACTGTACTACAGCACACATAAAGTCTTGAAAGCACACAATAAGTCTTCCACTTGCTGACTTCTTAGTTATTGCACACTGTCACATAAAATCTTGTAACCACGCGTTCGGGTCTTCTTACCGCGACTGCTGCTATATTTCAACCCTACTGTCTTCGTAGGCAGTGTAGCTTTCTTACATAGTCGCAGTGCCCGCCTGTTACCCGTGTCACAGCTGCATTCCGTGTTATGTCACCGTGCGGAGGGGGCTGACGGAGCGCTGACTCACCCACCACGTCACTGCTGGGGGAGAGGGGTTCTCCGTTGCGCAACATGTTACATTATTAAGTTGTATTTGATAGGAAGTATATATAAACACCAACAGCTTTATATTCTGACTTGATTTGCCTATTCTTGGCAAAAAATAAAGCTTAATATTTACATCAAGTGGACAAGGGCAATGTTGCTAATGTTCTGAAGGTAAATGCTGCCTCCATCTTCAGGGTCAAAGAGTGCATTGTGGGTGAGTTTCTGTGAATATATAGATTTATGTTTTGAGAGAACAATGGGGAGGATGATCCCTCCCTGCATTGCTCTTTCAAAATATAGATCTATATATACATAGAAACTTACCAATCATACACACTTTGACACTGACAACAGAGGCAGCATGTACCCCTAAAATGTCACCAGTATTGTCCACATCCATACAGTGCAAAAACCCAAGGTCTGAATTAGCATCAGTATTAATTACTATAAAAGCCTAAAATCAGTAATTTCCTTATCTGTTCAGCTAATTCAAACTCTCTGTTGTTTGCACAATCAATACTTCAAAAAATAAACAATACCAATGACTAATAGTATGTGATAAGATATTTCTGTTTGCCAGCATCAGCATCATACAGATAATACTAACAGTACATATTCTCTAACCTAGGGCAGGCAACACTTACAGTAACATGGTCTATGTGCCTATGATCCCAGTAATTGCCGTAGAATCAAATAACTGTTCTTTAGTAAATTTTTATAACTTCCACACCAATGGAAGCTACTCTGGACTCATATCCTGCAAAGATTCTCTACAGTAAACACTAAAAATGAATGCTTAATAGCATGATAACGACCATTCAAATGTTCCACTACTATAACTAGGCCCACCCAATGGATGTGTAACAAAACACTGTCTGCTGGCTTTCATTCTAGTGTATAACAGTTCACTACAATACCTATTCTATATGAAGCACAAATCAAAGTTCCAAAGATTATTCAGATATGGTTCATTGTACAAATACTGTATGACATGACATAAATGAGTCTGAATCTCATTAAGAACTGTTAACTGTTATTTGAAACACTTCATGATATGGTACAATTTATGTATACAGGCCTGATGATGATCTTGCATTTGTGCTCACAGAGGACATTGTTACTCTGCTGGACATATGGCATTACTCTTCAGTTTGCTACACTATTCAGTAACTTTGAGCATATTTACCTCACATGTTTTAATGTGAAGGACTGGGAGGAAGGAAGAAGATAAAGGTATGAAAGGGACAATGGCAAGGATGGAAGGGAGTGAGAAATGTGGACGGACACTCACTCACTCACTCACTCCTGAAGCTAAGCCCTTCTTGAAAAGCCGCCAACTGTGCAGCTACTCAAGAGCTTCCCAGTATTTTACGGAACCCAAAGGTTCATTACTACATTCACAAGAGCCCTTCACTCCTCCCTATCCTGAGCCAGATCAATCCAATCCATACAATCCCATCCTGTCTAAGATCCATCTTAACAATGTTCACCCACCTATGTCTTGGTCTTCACAGTGGTCTCTTCCTTTTTGGCTTTCTTACCAATATCCTATATGCATTCTTCTTCTTCTCCATTTATGCTACATGCCCTCCCCACCTCATCTCCTTGACTCGATCATTCTAACTGCAGCTTCAAATTATAGATAGATAATTATCTATCTATGGAAGATGATTATAATCATCTTCCTAGCACTTGTTCTCAATCATTGTTGGCACATACCTATATGTCGCTGCAGGTGCCATGAAAATCCTACCTCACCAAGTAAAAATAACTCAGCTTTCTTTAAATTGTCTTGAAATTAATAATATGAAATACATAATTGTAATTCATAAAATAGTTTCATTTTAACTGTTACATAACAATGAAGAAAGTTGTCTTCTGGGTTTTGGCACCGTGTATTATTCGTTTTGGCCGACGTTTCCGAGTTACGCTACTGCTCTCTGTATTCACAAGCCATTCACCTGCTCTGAAGATGGAGGCGATAAGTTCCTCCGAAACATCGGCCAAAACGAATAATACACGGTGCCAAAACAAAGAAGACGACTTTCTTCATAGTCATCGCTGTGAAAACCTCAAAACTTACATGTTGGATAACAAATTCAGGTTACTACCAATTAATGGTCATTTAACATCCCCCCCCCAAAAGTTCTTAAAATGTGCTGCCACAGACAACTGCTTGTTGCCTTTGCTTTCATGTTGGGTCTACCTTCAATGCTTATTCTTTCCTTGCAGAACAGGGCCATACTTCACAGTCACACAGTATTCCATATACATATAAGACAGCAGAAGCTAGTACATAACCTGGTGTAGAAATAAATGGGACAATTTCTCATTAATAGAAAAGAGAATAAGTTCATAATAAATCCTTATAAAATATGGCACAGTTCAAACAACAACTTATAGTGAAATACTTGACATGGCAATAAGAGCATATAGAGTAGAACTTGGTTATAACGTCATCAAAGGGACCTAAAAATAGTGTCGTTATAAAAGAATGTCGTAACCGAAATGGGCACTTCCACAGTAGCCTTATGTTAGTCACGTAAAAATCTACCAAAAACCGAGTTAAAATGTTGCATTTTTTAGTGAATTACGTAGTTAAGTACAGACTAACGTAACATTAATGTGGAATTAACATGGATTCTCCATATCGTTTGTACTGTAGAATTCACCAAACCAAATTCGCGGCATACATCAGCTCTTTTCCTTCCATTTTCTATTTCACGAATCACTTTAACTTTCTCTTCAATGCTTAAAACTTTCCTTTTCATTGCCATGTTTTCGCTACTGCACGTCTTTGGGTTTAGGCAGGAACACTATAGGGTAAGTAGACAATGTGAGGTCCTGTTAGACGAGATTCTAGGAAAGGAATGCAGTTAACAACCTGCCGCGTCCTCTTGCACTATTCACGCAGTCCCACCCCACACCCTTGTTTTCGCATAAAACCCACGCTCCTCTTGCAGCCCGCGGTCGTATTCTTCCAGGACAGTCACGTCAGCAAGTAGAGAAAGTGAGGGTGGGCAGACACATCGAACTTTCCCACGATATCAGAGAAATTCAGGAATGAAAATGACGTTACATACGAGGTTGATGCATTTGTGCATGTCGTACTAAGCAAGGTATAAGAACAGTTGCTTTATGAGGAATTAGTTCGTACCATTGAATATTTGACGCAATAGACAAGGTGTCGCAGAAACCGATGTTGCTATAACCAAGTTTTACTGCATGTTGCAGCAGAGCTAAGTTATGTTTAATCAGGTACTGAATCTGGGACCATTCATATGAGAGACTTGCTTCATTTCAAGGTCTCCAGGACCCCGTCCCTTCAAACATCAATACATAAACTTAATTATTCAAGTTGTGCAACATTTATTGGTTTAAAAGACTGTGATTATGCTGTTCATAATATCTTGCTATGGTAAAGTCATAATTACTTTCAGTTAATTTTTTCTTGATATCAGCAACAGTTAGATCATCATATACATCCACTTCAAATTTCAGTTTTTCAAAGCGTTGTTTAAGAATTATCTTGTCTGTTTCTGTCCCGCTTCTCTCAGTAAGATTAAGATGTGAACTGTACTTCTTGTGATTAAATATTATAGCCCTTCCTCTTCTTTCATGGTCCATTCTGTATTCCTCTGCATCTGGTCCAACAGGAGGAGTGTACCATCTGAAAACACATATTGTTTCAAGCACATGAACAAAAAAATGATGTTTCATATTTATCAATTAAACAATAATGTACAACTTCCATCTTATCTCACTGGTTACCAAAGATATTACTTCCTGGTCAGGGTTATATAAATTGAATAACTGTAGAAAAATGTAGGATATCCATTTCTAAATCCAAGTGTAGATTAATGGCATTTTAGGTCATTATAAAATTGTGTTAGAAGATAAGCATAACAAACATCAGCATCCACATCAAAGTAGGTTAGAAACATGTGAACATACTGTATGTGAGCTTTGAGATTCTTTTATGTAGTGTAGGCAGGTACCAAAGTAACTCTCTTCTACCCTGAAGTTGGAGGAAGTTTGTTATTCTGAAATGCTGATACCTATGTACCAAACTACAAGATGTCAATTAAATTTACCTAAATTTACTTGAGTTCTACACTTAAGAACTGTATATTCTATGAAATAAGTAATGTCACGTGTATGCTTCACTACAGATGGGGTTCAGATTGGTGACTTGATTTATAGACCACTTATACCGACACGGCTTGTGACTTCACTTTACAGATCACTGACACACACAGACTAATGTCCTCAGTCTATTACAGTCTCCACTAGCCGTTTCCAGGAAATGGATCTTAACACAGCTAACTTCAACAGTCTCATTGAATTACATGCTCCAATATCACACATGAAGTCTTCTCTTTACAGCCAGAATTTCAACTGAGCACTCTTGCAACTAACTCATTTCTTCACAGCCGCCCCTTCAGAACTGAACTATCAACTAACTTTGTCCCTTGCCTATTACACCACAGCAAGGACCAGGCAGAAAATACTGTTCTTCCATTGTTGCGTTCATTTCCATTGCAGCAGGAACGTGTTTACTGAACCGTTTCCCAGAAATGGCCATGGTGTGGACCACAGAAACACCGTTCTTCTATTGCTGCATTCATGTCTGATGTCACAGGAATGTATTTACTGAGCTGTTACCCAGAAACGGCCAAAGCATGGACCAAAGAAAACATCGCACTTCTACTGTTGCTTGTGTCTATGTTGCAGGCATTATCTAGCAAGGACAGCTGTTTACAGAGTCACCGCTTTTTTTACTGCTAGTGGGGTGGGACTAAGTCCCTTTACTGTGGTCACTTCTGGCCTATTGTACCAGCCCCAGATGATAGGTGAGGGTGATTGTGGAGCACTTGGAATGAAGACTGGCAGGGGGAAACCGAACTAATCGGAAGAAACCTGCCCCAGCGCCACTTTGTCCACCACAAATCCCACTTGACCAGACCAAGGATCGAACCCGGGCTGCCGCGGGGGGAAGCCAGCGACTACCCGCTTGAGCTGTGGCGCGACCCGAGTCACCGCTTAGCAACAGATCTATATACCACAGTAAAATAATGTGGACCATACACCCGCTGTAGCCATGTCAGCGAAAAGCAAAGAGGAATGTTACTAGTGAAGAAGGCTGTGGAATTTTAGTATGTGATGAAGATACTAGTTATGGTGAATTTGATGATGTACTGCGGATCAAATTAATTGTGTTTATGGAAAAGTGTAAGACTGTGAAAAACTGTATCCCTAGGATCAGAGAGATTGCAAGGCAAGGATGTGTGTGAATCAAAAGTTAACCTTTTCAGTTGCATAACTTCTTACTTTGGTAAAGTAGGTATTCATCTTGAAATAAGAAGTTATTTGAAAGGAACAATTAAATAAGGATTTTATTCATACAGCAAGCATGTCAATGCTTCAAATTCAAAGTAATTTTGTAGTCACATACAATAAGAAACATTCATGGTGGTTTTAAGCAATGTTGCAGAATTACAGTGTTCCAAAGCATGCTTAACATGCATTATGGTGTGCCATGCTTCATCTAACTGCAGTAGTAACATTAGTAATTCATTACCTTTCGCTAGATCCTTGACCTAGCCAAGTGGTGAAAATTCAAGAATGCAAAATTCTTTAATGGTATCAAATTTCACGAATTTATATATCATTCTAATAGCTGATTTTTAATATATGTAATAGATCATCCTGTACAGCAAGTAGTTTCAGTGATGTAATGGTAAAGGTACTACGGTATAGGTAAAGCTATCCCTGTAAAAGGCAGTGAAGGTCCATAGGGCTGTGAGATGTCGAGGCTTCCACATTTTCTTGATAATAGGCTTACAGATGGCAGTAAGGATGTCAGCTGCCCTTTATCCCCCAGGAAGATTCCTGGTACTCATTTCTGTTAAGAGGCTGAGTCGACCCAGGGCTATAATGCGGCTGGAAGGATTAGTTCAGCGAAAAAATCCAATGACCGCATCAGGAATTGAACCCTCAACCAACTACACCACTGCATGCCCCTTGTGGTGTGATGAATGAAATATTTATTAATTTTCACATACACACATTCTTCCTGTGTCACTGCATTTCATAAACCTTCTTGAGATCGTTTCATATGGAATATGTTATTTGAATTACTTACTCCACCCTATCTTGATCGGGCAGTACTTCTATCTCCCCTTCCTGCTGGCTTCCATGGTTTACACACACTGAATCTGCTGTTACAGGATCAGGCATGCCACTCCCTGCAGCTGAACTTGACGATGCCATCACAGAATATTATGTAACACCACTGAGAACATAAAGTAACTTCTTATACAAGCTTGACATTGCATTCATTTGCAAAATTCCAGCTGTTCTCCTAAAACAATCATTCCTCTTACACTGCAAGATATAACACTTAAATATAACTCATATTTATAGTACAGGTTAAATCAATAAACATCACAGTATTCTTCATACTAACTTTAATCTCATTTAGCCTGATGATGAATGCAAGAAGTGTCCAAAAGAGTGGTTTTTAGTTTGAGCTTGAAACCTGTATTTATTTCAAATATGTAATTCATACAGAGCACATTTCAACATCTTCCACTGGACCATTATCTTAACAACATACTATTCCATGACACTACATAATTTTCTCTTTATGCTCATCTACAGATATGGATCAAGCACTAACCAATTAGAGCTTCCAGAATTCATTTTATTGTCCTTTTTCTGTTTTCCTTTTTGGGGGAGGGGGACATAAATTAAACCAATTCTAATGTATAAGTATGAAAATTTAATTTCAATCTCCACAGCTTCTCAGTGACACTCAAAACCACATAAACAATTGAAGAAATAAATCTTAAAAAAAAATCCCATCCTTTCAAATGAGGAAGAAAAATATCACACAGGCTCACACCATTGAACAAAAGAAATCTACAAAGAAGTCATCTTTCCACTTTATGTAGTTATTTGTTGTCCTTACAGAAAGATTTAGGGGAGACATATACATATATTCAAACTACACAACCACATATAGGGATACAGATATTAATAACATAAATGCAAAAATATTAATGAATAAACATTAAATATTCATATTCACTACAGAAGTTCACACTGTGCTTACTACACAGTGTGTGACTGCTAAATGAATACCATTAGATGCTTTTGCCATGCGACTTAAATACTTACATATATCACACACCTTCTGTGGACTGCAACAACTAACACTAATATTTTGGTATTGAAAATTTCAGAGGGGATGTGGAAACTCCTTATCAGCACTGATAAGCTATCAGTGTAGGTACTATGTAGGGTATCACTGTATAACCATTAGAGCAATCAAAGAGATAGGACACCGGGTTGTGCACATATCAAGAATACATATCAATTAAGTGTGCCATATTCATTCCAGAGTTATATAACAAAAGGGAGTGGCATATGTAAGAAACTGTACATAACCCATCCAAATGCACTACTCCAGAATTTATCTGGAGAACTGAAAATAATCATGAGAAACCTTGTTAGAATAGCCAGCATTCTGGTCAATATTCAAGGTGCTCTAACTGCTAACTCCGTTGGGAATCACCTTCCCTCTCTGTAACCGTTTAGTCCGTTATGGCCCTTTGGTTGCCGGTTGCATCTGCTCCTCTAGCCGTTCCATCTCACCTGTTGGTACTCCGATTTTGCAGGTCGCTGCTGCGTCCTTCTTATCCAGTTCTGTTTCCCTTTTTGTTGTTGTGGATAATAGTTTGCGGGGTATGGGTTACCTTAATGCTGGGCGCCAGTAAGCTTACTGTAAAGCCTTACATTTCAGGAAAAAAGGGGGGATGAACCGAAAACTACAGGTGATAGGTACCGCATTCTCACTAGAGCGATGCGATTCTGTCTCAGGGTGAATACGGGCCTCACGTCAGCGGGAAAGATAAGAGTGTTTATAGCTAGGCACTACCACACACTGTTTAATTAGCACTTCTTGATATACATGTAACAGCACTTGTCTTTAATCCCTTAAAACACCTTGAAATCGCTCAAACGTTGGCGACTGGATCCCTGGCTAGTTATTTAGCGACTGCTTCTTTCAGCACAACACACAGGAGTAACACTTTCACTTAAACTCTTAAGACAAAGTAAGATTCACGTTAAATTTTGAAGTTATTCAGGGATTGTTCCCGTAACACACTTTAACATAATTATGTTTTAACTTTGACTTTTAAACCCAACTGCCAGTGACACTAGTTTTTTGGCTGTACACTTGGAGAGTTGTTCAGAGACTCCTCTCGCAGACTGACCCTGCTTCGAAGCAAGAAATCTTCACGGCTTCAGCTCCACCTCCAAGTTACTACCCTAATTTCTGCTGACTGGAACAATTCGAATTTGGGGAGATAACCATAATTCTCACTGCTCCAATCACCTAGCTTTAATTTGGGACTTTAGACCTTAAAGTCCTAATGTCGTTTTTGACAGCTGCTTGAAAAATTATACCAGTAGCATGGGTTGCTGGCCTTCCCACTTTTGACTTACGGGGTTCAAAACCTGTCAAGTGTAACTTTACCAAAAGATCCCGCCGGTCAACTTTCGAACTGAATTTCCAGGAAAACTCTGCAGGGTGCTTCCTGCCTGGTCTTTGTAACGTGAAGCAGGCCCTATTCTTGAAACCAAGAATCGGGCTAAGTCACCCTTGAATGTTCCTTACTACATCTTATGCTTAATTACTATAAAAAGAAATATTGATTACAAATAAAGCTGGTGGTGTCAGTGGTATGGCTACAGTGCATACTTCCTGAATACATCATCACCAGTTCAGCTGATCTGTTAAGAATGGAAGAAAACATGAAATCAGTTATGCAACATTTAAACTTTCCTAAAACAAGAAGGAAAAATTGCAATCATCTGACTTGTTTTTAAGTAACAATTTAATGTGGATTTTCCAGATACAGAATACCCTAAATTGTTCATGTGCAGTTTAACTGGTTTATGGCTCATCGATACATTATTACTTTAAGACTGATCACAACTTTCAGAGCATTTGTTCAGTTTACTCAGTCTATCTATAAACATGAAATGACATGAAAACCAGAAAGATGTTCATCAAATCTGATACAGACAAAAATTATGATAAACTGTAGAGACATTTTTAAGTTTTCTTTTATATATAACAATTTTAACAACCTCTTTAATTGAAGATCTACATGTGTTCCTGTGTGTATCCCAAATGCAAGCAAATTAAGCAAAAAATGCTTGGAACAAAATCTGCAAAGTAAAATTAAACAAGCATTTTATGTTTGGAACACTTTTTCTCTAAGCCTCACAGCTGGATGCTACGCATATATTTCTGAATTCCTACACTCCCAACCACACGTGAAGCTAGGACTATTGGTGTTCTTTGATTATTTGTGCAGATTTCCCCTTCATTGGCACAGATAATCAAAAGTATACTGTATACATAACATAAGGGCATGTACAAAGTGAAACTGTGAGTATAGCATCAAGCAGCCAGTCAAGTAAAACAGCGAATAAACAAAAAAATGTATGTTCACAGTGAGGCTTTGGATTTGTAGTAAACAGTGTTGAGAAATGATGTGTGCAGGTAGCCTGGGTCTGAGAACAAAGTTTCAGTATCAGCCATACATGGATGAAAAATATGAAAATGACTTGGATCATTTCCTTACCTTTTGCATCTGTTTGATCAATGTCAATATGTCTTACAGAGTAAATATCGATAGGCAAAACTAACATCACTATCCAACAAAATAAGCATGTTATCTCTCCATTACGGAAACTAAGTTCTTCTAGAAAACTGAATATGCTGAATTCCATTCTGAGCTTGAAAGTTTTGTTATCATCCACAATTTTCAAAGGAAAGAATCAAACCCTGCCATACAAGCCATATGGCAGCTGGCCAAGTAGGATGGGTCAGTTTTTCAACCAGGCAGTGCATATTGCAATTTTCTGACCAATGGATGAATGACATTTCCTTTTATATTAACCACCTGCATGCTTTCACCACTCTTCTAGCCAAATCTTTGTAGGACATTACAAATTTTTTCAGGCATCGGTAATGTAGTTTTCCAAAGAAAATGGTGGATGTAATATCTTCGGCAATATTTTTGTACTGTGTGCATGAAAGTACATTTAAACACCAAAATCTACATTACAGAAACAATCAATGTTCTACAGCATACTTAAACTTTTACTTATGGAGGAAAGTGTTGAACTGGACAAAGAAAGCAAACAGATTCAGTTTTACTGCCTAACAGAGTTGAGCAGCATTAGTTGATGCTCAAATATGCTCATTCTGATTAGTGTAACATACACTGGACTAACTGCTTCACTGTGAATAAATTTGGAATTTCAAAGGGCAAACATGTAAAAGCATATTTATGTACTGAGACTATAGAGGAATGCAGGAAAAAGATATGCTGCAAAATATAAATCAAATTTAATAACATTTTAGGTCTGATTATTTGTGACTTTTTGGTATTCTTAACAAAAACATACAAGTATAATACCCTATTAAGAAAGCAGTCTTCTGGGATGTGGCACCGGGTAGATGTGGTGTTAACCGAAGTTTCAGAGGAACGTATCGCCTCCATCTTCAGGATAGAAGGAAAAATAAGAAAATCTGCAAGTGAAAAAATAGCGAGCACAGGTGCAAGCAGACTAATACATAAATGGAACAAATATCAATACCTGATTTCCAAGTGTTGTCCAGATGAATTTGTTTCACTATGGTGATCATCTTCAGTTTCAATGTCATAAAATTCCAAGCAAGGTGACAGGATCCATTCCTGAGTTGACAGCATCATGATGTAGATTCAGCTGCTCATAATGTTACAAAAATGGCAGCTCCCATATCCAACAGGGAGGACATAAAGTTTTATACAGACCCCCTGGATGTGACCTAATATTCCTCATACTTACCGTTTTCACTTTCATATGCATTAAAGCTAGCAAACGCAAAAATCTGCACTGTAAGATTGTCGGACAGCTTGTCATCCTAAACCACCAAATTCCCACTGAACTCCATGGATAGTACTTTTAACTTCTACAGATACTGATAAGTAAAAGTATCATTCAATGTATCATGTTTACAGGCATTATTTTAAAGTTTGAGACCAGAATTAGTGCACAGAATGCAGGTTTGGTGGACTGGAAGGCAATAATGATATTACGAAGCATTCTCTGAATATATTACTTAAATTAAAAAAAAAAAAATTCACTTAGTTGGGGGTGGAGTCCAACTGGGTCCACTCGGCACAGTGGACACTGATTGGCCTATTGTAGCCTGCCCTGGGTGATTATGATGGAGAATTTGGTGGAATGAAGATTGGCAGGGGAAATCGAAGTACTCGGAGAAAACCCGCCCCAGTGCCGCTTTATCCACCACAAATCCACTTGACCAGACCCAGGATTGAACCCAGGCCACCGTGGTGGGAAGCCAGTGACTAACCACTTGAGCTATGGTGTGGCCAACATATTACCTAAATTTAGTCCACCACACCCAAACATGTGATCCATGGCTATTCTAGTTTCATGACAGCATCCCATATTCAAGTAATATCATCAATAAAGAACCCTAATCAAACAACACAAATTTCCTTCCATTCATTAAACATGAAAACACAATCTTATTCACTTTCAAACAGAGAGTCAAATTTTTACCTAAAATATCACATATAAACATACTTCCTACTGCAACAAAATATAAAAGTTATATGCAACACAGCACATAACAGTTCCATACTGCCTAATCACAGCTTTTACAGCCTGTGGACAAGTAGAGAAATGTACCTGTAAGATACTGACAAGTAAAAAATAATGGTCACCTTGTTGTCAGTGGGAAACACGAACTATTGGATGATGAATAATTTCTCATGCACCATTATGCAGTTCTGGAAATCTCTTTCAATCATTTGTGGCAAAGAGGAAATGGCAAACCATATCCAAATGTGAGCATGACTATTAAGTCAAAATAATTCATCTCTCTTTTAAACTGAATTATTTGCCATTATCTTATGCCTGTCATGCATGTGTTTAGTATAAACAGCACAATAAAGGAAGTTAATTTTGTGCGACAAATGGAGGTGAGAGCCACAGTAACCAGAAAATACTGACCTATATTTAATGGTGACAAAAAATATGTCTGACTACCAGATTTTCCAGAAAAAAAAAATCTGACCCCTGGCCCTGCCTATTGTCACGTCTTATGATTTCAAATTTCTAATATTCATGCCTGTCGCAAATAAAAAACTAAGAGAAATTCACCATTTGTAAAATAATGTACCCTGAACTCATTTATGTAAGAATCACATTTCAAATAATATGCCAATCATTATTAGCAACAAATTTATAACTATTCTGACAAGTTATGTTATATTAGGCAGTTAATAATTTAGTCACTGACTGATTAACCGTTCAGCGTGGCTTGACGTGTATGTTTCGTCAGGTATTTAAATCGTCTGGGGGGGTTCGACGTCTATGTTTCGTCCAGCTGCACACCTATGTTATAACGCCCATAATAATTGATGGTTTTGCTGTAGATTGTTAGATTTTTCGCTGGCCTGTTGTCAGAAGGACAGTATATAATGAGGCGCGCGTTTTCCTGTGCTAAGTCATCATTACATATGCCTGTCTTGCAGCAAAATTCGTGTTGCTCTTGGGAGAGGTTTCGTCATTCAAACCTTTATGAATGTCGTGTTTTCTTTCCTATGAAGTTATAAACAGCAGAGACGTGATATGTGCTGTGTTTATAATATCATACTGCCCTGAGCTGGCCACACTAACACACTCAATTGGAATTCTTAGAAGAGGGATGTCCAAAAATTTATTCTTGCAAGATCGATTGATTTCGCACAGTACATAGCAGCGAGTTCTTGGAAAAACGTCACGAATTAAGGCAGAACACTGTGGTCACCCCCTATGACGATACTGGTGTGTGTGGGGGGGAAAAGAACTCATTCCTTCATGTATTATCGCTCCAGTTGACGCCATTTTATCGTACTGACCTTGGTGGTCGTTTCGAGGGATGACCATAAATATTTTTTTTGAGCCAGCTAAGCTCTGCTTTCGTGCACTACATACCAGACAGTTCTTAGAATAACTTCATGAATTCTGTGGTCACCCCTACGACATCTACTGCCGCCAAAATGAATGGAATATCAAAGGCATAGCAACAACCCCTTGTTATGATAACTCTATTGAATTTACTACAGCTGACCTGGCAACTAAACGGGTCACGGAAAGACATTTCCTTGCACGTATACCCCTCACGGGGAAGAAGGCAAGGCCGCACAGAAGATGTGTGGTTAAAAAAAAGAGCCAAAGAAAAGATACACAATATTGGAGCGGTGAATGTGGGGCAGGGTTGGGTTAAACGAATGCTTCAAGGCCTACATTACACTGCTCAAATTCTAAATCAACTGCTTCCATTGCCGAGATACCGGGCGCTCATATTATAAGGTAAGGTTATAAAAACCATCTTTTAAGATAATTTTAGTGAAAGTTTCATGCTTCAAAGCGTACCATTTACTGCTCAAATACTAAACAACCTGCTTCCATTGCCGAGATACAGGGTGCTCATGTTATAAGGTAAGGTTATAAAACCACCTTTTAAGATCATTTTAGTGAAAGTTTCATGTTCCTATCTCATATAATTTAAGAACAATGATGAATAAATCATTTTCGAGCAAAATTTAAATGGACGGCTGAATATATTACCGCCGGAGAGACGGCAGCGGAATTTAAATGACCGCGCGAAAGGGTTAACAACAAATATAAAATATCATTGCAATTTATTCACTGTGAATACTGTACAAACAAAATGTAGTTATCACTCAAAAGTGCATATATCATTTATTCAAAAATATATTTTTAAATGCTTGATATTACAAATATTTCTGTAACGCACACATGAAATACAAGAATATATGTAACTTCAGTATACAAGTTACTAAGTATACATATTTGCATAACAGAGAAATTACATGAATTTGTGAACTCTTATAAAAGTGATCTGAACAGCAAATATATATATTTGTTTGCCCCACTTCTTGATAATTATTGTATTAAACCCTGTTTTCTTTGGAAAATATATGAAACTAATAAAGAAGCAAAAGATGTCATCTGCTTCCCTGAACTGATACATATGCACAAATTTGTCATGGTAAAGTATTAATACTGCATCCTCATATGAGAAACAGGAAACGTATCATGTGGTATAGTAAGAAAGGATGACATCCTGTTTTACTTTCAGTATGCCTGAAATTTTACCTTTTTCACATCAAATTCAAAACAATGCATAGACTTTGTCATTCTGTGCAATACCACGCTGTACACAAATTAAATGGCAAAGCAGTTGACTGTACAATAGCAGATTCACATTTCTATGCATGCAAATGAAAACAACTTTCAAAATGCATGAAGAAAACAAGGATGTGCAAAATGTGTACCGTAGAAACGACTGCAAGCCTCATTACAATCCCAGGCTTTCCAAATAAACTTGTGAAAGAAGCATCAACGAATATATGTCAATTACTGACACTGGCAGCTTTCAACCATTATCTTCAAAGCAATGTACTCTAACACTGTCCACTTGGATAAACAGTTGCCCACACCTGACATAAGGTTATAATTAGTTTCAGGGTATTAAATACATGAACCACATGAAAACACAAGTTTTGAAACAAGAAAATCATGTAACTTACTTAAGCAGATCTTTGAACCATTAACATCCTAGCACGTGGAGCAATAACTGCTTAGCATAACATAAAGTGCAAATATATGTTCTTTTTATGAAAGAATTCTACATAAAAACAAAAAGAAATGCTTATTATGAACATAATATTTCAAAATTAATAACTGAATTTAAATGTTTATAATACCAACTTTGCAAGTAAACATGTCATACAATTCTTGCCTATCTTCATGGCACCTTTTTCTTACATCTCTGAATGTGGGCGTTTCTCAACCCAAGCCTTTATAGCTGGTATTGTCAAAACGTTCTCCCTCAGAGCCTTCAGTTTGGGACGATTTTCCACTAGATCTTCTTTCACCATGAAATTCAAGTAGTCAAGTATGCCAACAAAGTAAAGATCAGCCCATGTCAGCTACATGAAACAGCAGAATACAATACTTCATAACAATATTCTTTACAAAGATTACACACTGTTTTGACAAGGTAAAATTGTTCGATCATCATGCCATAAAGACATAATACATGAATGGAGGTACAGCTGCGACCGACAAGACACAAAAGAAATTTACATGTCCTACAATCACATCTCGCCATGAGGCAGAAAGGGGTCCATTGCATGAGCATAAAAATATTTAACAGTTTGCCTGATTATTTAGCTGATTTAGTACATGATAAAAAACAGTTTATAAAAGAAATAAGGGATGTCCTAATACATAATCCATCATATACTGTTGATGAATTTTTGCTCTTCTGTCGGGATCAACAGCTAAGGAATAGAAGGGGAGTGCATGCTGACTGATGGATGTCCCACAGTAGGCATAAATATAGACATTAAGTGTAAATATAATCTGTATTTCATGTATTTATTTAGATGCATGTTGTTTGCATTTATGTTTGTTTTTGTGATATGGCATGTTGGAATTGTAAAGATGTATTGTTTGCAAAGCTTGCAACATGTTTCATATTCAGTGCAGATTGCACTTATGAATATCCTGAAACGCAGATGTATGTATGTATGTATGTATGAAATAGAACGCTGGCTGGGCCCCAGAGTCAGTCTTGCCTCTGCCGGGAATCAAAGCCTGAATCACTGATCATCCTGTCCATGACATATCACTATACTGACTGAGATATTCTGGCTGCTAATGTTAGGGCAGAATATTAATCACATTAAGTTCTTAATATTTGCTGTTATTTACTTACAGAGCTGAGCCCTTCTTGAGAAGCCAAATCTGCAGCTAGTCAAGAATTTCCCAGCATTTTATGGAAACCGAAGGTTCATTACCATGTTCACAAGAGCCCACCACTGGTCCCTATCCTGAGCTTGATCAATCCAACCCATACCATCCCATCCTATCTCTCTAAGATCCATTTTAATACTGTCCACCCACCTACACCTTGATCATATTTATATTTATTGTTATGACAAGGTAAAATAAAAATTGGAAACCTTTTATGATTAATATTTTACAAGGTGGTTCAAATATGACCGGAACTGATTTTTTTTTAAACCAAAATTGCCAAACACTTACTTGCACATGTCAGTCTTCAACATACTCTCCTCCCGAGTCAACACTTTTTTCCAACATTCTGGAAGCATCCTGATGCCCTTTTCAAAAAAATGTTGTGGTTGGCGGCGTATCCACTCCTGAACATTCAGGATGATGGCGTCATCCACAAACCACATGCCTTGCAAGTCTGATTTGAGCCTTCCGAACAGGTAGAAATCACTTGGTGCCAAATCGGGACTGTATGGCGGATGTGTCAGAAGGTTCCATTTCAATTTCCAGAGGGTTTTCATTGTTGTTTTGGCCATATGGAGGCGTGCATTGTCTTGAAGGAAGGCTACCCGCTTTCCACCTCTCTTCTACTTGGATCGGATCTTTTCCTTCACGTCTGTTGCCAGGTCTGGGTAATAAGCTGCATTGACTTCTGGCATCTGTCAGAAAGTCTACATGGATAACCCCCTGCCAGTCCCTGAAGAACGTTGCCATCACTTTTCCTGCCGAACGGCTCCTCTGCGCTCTCTTGGGTTTGGGAGAACTGGTATGCTGCCACTCGCGTGATGACTGCTGGGACTAGGGAATGAAGTAGTGCACCCATGTTTCATCGGTGGTCACTATAGACTTCAAAAATGCATCACCTTCGTCTTCAAACTGCTGTAGGAGACGACTGGCAACTTGCATGCGCACCATTTTGTTCACGTCCATCAAAGTGCGTGGTACCCACCGTGCATTCACCTTGCGATAGTGCAGGTGGTATTGCATGATGTCTTCTACACTACCAACACTGATGGACAGCATTGCTCCAAGTTCCTTGATAGTGATGCACCTGTTCTCACGAATAAGCCCGTCTGCATGATCAATGTTTGGCTCGGTGACGGATGTTCGCGGCCGACGATCATGCGGTTCATTCTCCACGCGCTCTCTGCCCTCTCTGAAGCACTTACACCACTCAAACACATGGGTCCGTGAGAGACACTCTTCCCCATACTGTTGCTGGAGTCTGTGGTGAATTTCAGCGGACGGGATGTTTTCTCCGAGGAATTTGATCACAATGTGTTGTTCCACGCTCCGCGGTACCTTCTGTTCACTCATCACTCTAGCAACTTCCAGACAGGACTGAACAGGTTCTAACCCTAACAGGAGGGAGGGTGGAGGTTGTGGCTTCACCCTCTCAAGATCGCACAGCTGCTGTGCAGTGCAGCTTGTTTACAAAAAACTCAGTCCCGGTCATATTTGAACCACCTAGTATATCACAATACACAAATGTGGAATGCTGTTGTTATAGAAATAAAACAAATTTCATGTATTCATCAACCAAACAGGTTAGCGTAGCAAAACACTCTATACTCATATTCTGAAAGTACTCACTCTGAATCTTGTCGGGACATTGGCTCTACTGGCTGAGGTTTTTCGTGGTTTCCTCAGTTGCACCAGAGAGATGATGGGATAGTTCTCAATTAGACCATACCACTGTCAGTTCCTTATTCATCTATCATACTACCACTTCATGCCATATAGTCTAGATACTGAAGCTGTCATAAAATACCATCAGGCTTATACATAAGACACAATGCAACATTAAACATCTCGGTTATAACAACAAAGGTACACTGAATTACAAGCAATCAGATTCATAGATCATAAACCCCACAGCAAAACTATGCTCTAATAATTCATATCTTCACAGATTCAACAGTAACACTGTTAAATCTGTTATTATTAGGGACCAGATTTAATGCAAATGCACATTACTTTCTTGCAACCAAAAAATATGTAAAAGTAAAGAAATGCCTCCCATTTAGGACTAGTAACATAATAACCTACACCACCATTTGGGTTACGTGAGCACTGGTGGAAAAACTATCAATTTCATGTACTCCACATTCCTCTCGAATTTACTTCGGCAGTTGTAAACACTGGGGGCATACATAAAACATGAACAGGAGCTAACACATGTGACATGAAAAATTTTCTTCCATTACCTACATGCAAAGTCCAAAACCTTACAAAAATTCATTTGCTCACATATTTAGACTGAGCCTAAGAACTTGCGACAGGTCATTGTTAATTTCAACATGGCAAGTCGGCAAGAAATTTCCTGGTGCCCTGCGTATGTGAATAAGTAACATCTTTATGTTTTCAATCTGCAAACAGCAGGACTCAGCATATGAATTACAAATTACGAAGAGTATATAAACTAAGCATGTCCTACTAACACTATAGTATCACATATTAGTGACACATGGTAAGTAATAACATACAACAACAGGGCTGACCAATTAGTGAAACAATGACTGCATGCAACCTTCATTTTGGTTTTATGCGGCACAATAGAGTATCCTTCCATTTTCCAAAATATGTGTTAATGCTTTTCTCCTCTTTAAAATGGGAGAAAATTGTATACAACAAGTTTTTCAAAACCAACTCACTAAATATTCTATAACATTTTTCACTTCATTTCACATGACATGCAATGTATTAAATTAGAAATGTATTGAACTAGTATGACTTCAGGATTGTATGCAATATTGATACACTGCATCATATCTTCAGCAGCTGATTTTTAAGCACCATCAATAGGCCATCACTGACAGCTTCCTTATGCACTCAGAACAACTGCCTTGCCTCACCATTTCAATTAAAAACAGTGCATTATTTTACTGCAAGAAGAAATATGTATGTTCTTTTTTTCATGGTTCAGCCCCTCTATGTTTAGATGATGGGCAGCCCTAACCTAGAAAATAACTGCCTTTAAAACTGTTAAACAATCAGAAAACTAAAAGAGAAATATTCATTCAGTGGTTTGCAAAAAATGTACTGATAAGGCTGTACTGACTCCAAGTACTGACATAAATGTGTAAGCTCCTGACACTATTCTGTCTTTACATTTATTTCACTCTCCAAACTATGATTCCACATGCATTAACATCTGTAAAATCCAAATGTAGCCATGCCATACAAATCATTATCCAGTATGTTTTCCCAGCTACTGTATGTAGAAGCAATCACACTTACCTTTCCACCAACAAAGTACCCATCATTCTTCTTCACAACTTCTTCAAACTTTGACATGTAATAAGGCACAGTTTCATTTTTCAAAGGTTCCCATTTCTTTTCTTTTGAAGCTTCGTCTTGATCATAGTGATAATTGGCAATTTCTATAACAGGAATATTACCTTCTATTATTTCTTTTTATTGCTAGTGGGGTGGGACTAAGTCCCTTGTACTGTGGCCACTCCTGGCCTATTGTACCAGTCCCAGGTGATAGGTGAGGATGATTGTGGAGCAGTTGGTGGAATGAAGATTGGCAGGGGAAACCGAAGTACTTGGAGAAAACCTGCCCCAGCGCCACTTTGTCCACCACAAATCCCACTTGACCAGACCCAGGACGCCGCGATGGGAAGTCAGCGACTAACCGCTTGAGCTATGGCGCGGCCCCTATATTACCTTCTAAGAAATGTTATTTTAACTCCTTAGAAATGCAAGTGTAGGATATTGGAAAGTCCCCAGACCGTTATTGTTGTAACTGCTTTGGTGAAAGATGATGAGAGGGAAAGCCAAGGTCACACTTCCACAAACCTATTGCATCAGTCTGCCATGTGACACCACGCTGTGAATACGCATTGATTTACAGGAGTGCTTTTTCGACTTTGTTTCCTTTTGTCTGCTATGGATGGCAAAATCGAGCAATGCGTCTGCATAAAGTTTTGCATGAAGCCCGGTAAATCTGGTACCGAAACCCCTGAAATGCTTCGTGTGGCTTTTTGAGAACATTCTTTAAGTCAGAAAGCGGTTCCTAAATGGCATTCACATTTCGAGTGTCAGTTGTAGATGACGGACGTTCAGAGTGACCAAGCACCAGCAAAACAACAGAAAACGTTGCAAAGAATCAAAAATTCATCCATAAAGACCGTCACCAAACAATCCATAAGCTCACAGACACTGCTGGAATCAGTTATGGAGTTTGCCATAAGAGCTTAACATAAAATTTGAACATTCGCCGCACTGCCAAGAAGTTTGCTCCCCGACTCTTGACAAATGATCAAAAGCAGCAGTGCATAAACGTGAGTCTTGAGCTACAAGAGGCCAATGAAGATCCAACTTTTATGAGTATCTCTAGGATCATAAGGGGTGATGAAAGCTGGATTTATGGTTATGATCCACAAACAAAGCAACAACTGTCCCAGTACAAGAGCCCAGAATGACCAAGAGCAAAAAAGGTGCGGCAGGTACAGAGGTCAACAAAGAACATGTTCACTGTTTTTTTTTTGAGGCAAAGAAGACTGTTCACAGTGAAGTTGTTCCTCCTGACACTATGGTCAACTCTGACTTTTACTGTGTCATTTTGAGATGCTTGAGAGAAAATGTGCAACAAAAAACACACGAACTTTGGTGCAACCACAAACACAGCAAACGTGCCCACCCACACGTCCCTGAAAACAACAGTTTATGACTAACAACAACATGGTTATCATTCCATATCCTTCCTACTGTGATTTCACTTTGCTTCCAAATTGAAAATGGAACTGAAGGAGCAATGTTTTGAAACAGAGTCTGACATACAAAGGGAATCGAAAGCGGTACTTGACAGCATAAGGGAAATGACTTCCACGGTGCTTTTGAAGCATGGAAAAAACAATGGGATCTCTGTATATGTTCCCAAGGAAACTATTTTGAACAAGATGACTGCCAAAATTGAGTAAGTTACGCCAGCATTTCTTTTTTGACCTATCCAGGAACTTTCCCAGAAAAAGTCAGCATGTTCAACAAACTACCAGACAAGTAAGTATATTCAACCTTGGTCTAAATATTATCATGCCACAATATATTAAAAACTTCATAAATATATTATTTATTATCAATTATATGTGATATTTCTAACAACACAACATGCTATTATAGTTATAATATTTATAATTACACTCTTTTTTTATTCAACTACATGTTTCTGCTTAATTTTTTCTCTCTACTGCTCTATTCTTACACTACATTCTTGTAACTGATAATCATGTGGCTTACGCTGTCTGAAGTCACCAAAAGTGTCCACAATAGCATCTATCTCAAGAGCCTCCCAATCATTGCTGCCATTCAGACCAAACTGCTTGGCGAGGTAACGGCAAATAGCAGCTGACTGATGGGTCTGAACCCCATCAATCTCAAGAACTGGAACCTTCCCAAATGGTGTAGCTGTAAACACCACAACATCCAAAATACAAAGTACTCAAAAATTGTCTTATCTTCATCTATTTGCTGCAGTGGTACTTGAACACCCAGAAGAACCTAAATTTGATTAACAGTTTATGATATACATAAGAAAGTCTGTTCATGGTCTGCATGTAAAATGAACTTTACATTACAATGGAACAAAATGGCTGAAAATCAGAATGCTCAATAACTTTCAGTGAAAGTCTCAAATATCAAACGTAAAAAAATAATCTATCCATTGGTTTAGGCATTGACACTATCATAAAGACACATAAAACCTCCTAACAGGCCACTTTTTTCACTTCATAAAGAATGCCTTAAGTACAGGGAGATCGAGAAATCGCGCACATCACACTAAGCAATTATATTTTGCTGGTTTAATGCACAAACTACTAGACATACAGCACTTACCATTAATGTTTATAACCTTACATCTTAGAAATGCAAAATCAAATCATGTCGATACAACATATGCTCGAAATGGCTTCCCTGTTCAGCAATGCATGCGTGAGCTCTTTTTACAATGTTTGAGGCCACTCTGTGGAGCAGCTGTAAACTGATGCTGTTTATCGCCGTCATAATGTTCCTCTTGTGGTCATCCAGTGTATGCGGATTGTTTTTATAGACAATTCCTTTGAGGTACCTCCAAAGGAAAAAATTTGCTGGTGGCAAATCGGGTGAACGCGGGGGCCACAACCCTTTTGAAATGAGACAGTCACCAAAAAACTCACACAAGAACTGCATACTTGCATTAGATGTGTGACACACGGCACCGTCTTGCTGCAATTAACTTCCAGAAGCGCACTAAACTGTGTAATTGATGTCTTGGTACACTCAACTGTTCACTGTTGTTTCAAAGAAAATTGGGTCCACTATTCGACAATGTGATAGAGCACACCACACTCTAATTTTCTGACAGTGCAAGGTCTTTTCATGTAACATATGTGGATTTTCAGATGACTAAACCCTACTGTTTTGACTGTTCACGTAGCCACTAAGATGAAACCACACTTCATCAGTGAAGAAAACCCTATCAAACTCTTCAATTCCATGGTTGCCACCAAATGTCCGAAACCATCTCAGTTTTCTCCGAGTACTTCGGTTTCCCTTGCCAATCCTCATTCCATCAAATTCTCCATATGTATAATTACCGGTACAGGTACAATAGGACATATGGAAGCCGACGTGCCAAAGGGGACCTAATACGGATTCCACCTCGCACTATACAAACTCTTAACTATTGTAATCTACTGTAATCTATTGTAAACAATTCTAAGTATCGTAACTTTACTCTCTTATTGTAATCCGCCAATGTACAGTAACTGACTTGTCCTATATCATGTAACAATGATCTATAGACGAAATAAATAAATAAGTACACTAAGCATTTTCCTTTATCCAGGTCCTTCAGTTCCTGCACACAGCGAACACGATATGCACAAAGGTGTAACTTCTTCATCGGTTTCTGAGCAGTTCCGTACAAAATCCCTGATTGCGCTGCTAGTCTCCTCAAGTTTTTTGAAGGGGAACGCTGCAACATTTTCTCCACATCAGCCAGTTTAGCCTTAGTCAAAATGGCCTTTCTCCGGGATCTCTTCCTATCTGAAACTGATCCACATTCCCGAAATCGGTTGATTATTCTGGTTATCGTTCAATTGTTAGGAACTGCAGCATCTGGATATGCCCGACGAACCTCGTCTGCGACATGTGTGTAAGAACGATTGGCAAAATAATGTTCCACAATGAAAACTTGTTGTTCTTGGGAAAATGACATGTCTGTCACGCAATAAACAAAGCTATACTGCAGATTTTATATGACCGATACACCACAGATGGCATTTCTACTCATTAGTACTCCTACAGTACCATCTCAAGGTAGGAGATATAATTATATTAACCGCAATACAATTTATAACAACTTTCAGTTTGATGTGTGCAACTTTTCGATCTCCCTGTAGAAACAAATTCTTCATTGGACTTACATGGTTTGAGCTGGGGCCACTGTTCCGATTCAAAACGATAATCTTCAAACTCTGCTTCACCATATGATAATAGAAAGCGGATGGGCTCAGACAGGGCCTTAACTGGGAAGTATATCAACTTGTATCTTGGGCTCATGATGCTTCACTGAAACAAGAATCGTAATGTCTTTTGTAGCAGCAATTTCCAAACTGTGTTCCACAGATCCCCAGTTCTGTAAAGAGATCACAAGGGTTGTGTAATAAAAGAAACTGTCTTAATGGCAGACAAACTAAATTGTGCTGTCTCAGAAACGTGTTTTAACAAGCCATTGTCTAGCAATGGATGGCCTCTCATATATTCTGGCATTTAGGCAACACGCCACAATACTATCCTATGTAATTTGAAACAAAAAAGGACTGCAATTCATATACCTCCTTACCCATTGAACCAAGTCAACTTCAAGGAGACAAACTATATACATCTATAATGAGGAAATTACTGTACAAGGTAACTAAAGCTCAGCACTGAAAATCTCTTCAGTCAAGGTTCAAGTATAGTTCATACATAATGGAACATTCCTCTCCAGCATGGTTTAAGACAAAGTTACGTTCAAACATACTTACTATTGCTAATATCCCTTACTTAAAAATAGTAACTTCTAGTGAGTGAATAACAACAATAATAATATTAATAATAATCTATACCGATGAACCTGGAGGTTCAAAATAGCCAACAGAAAAGCCTGCTTGGGACACACACATCTGATTCTGAGGTCAAGAATGGTGGAGTTAAAACCTCCACTCCCCAGTATGTTTTCATGCTGTGATAATTAAAATTATCATCATGGACCATCAACACAGTATACAGAAGAATAACTTTATGGTGGAGAAAAAATAGATGTTGTAGTGTCTTTTGCTTGTTTATTGCAAGCAGGTGTATGCTACGTGTTTCGACCTTTACTTAGGTCATCATCAGGCAAATCCCGTAAAACATATACCTGAATTTAGCTGTCCTAAAATGGATCCACATTATGAAATTTTTGTACTCTTCATTCACACTATACTTCCATCCACAATGCAACCTGTTTATCATCTCCCTCTCCTCCTCACTACATGTTTCAGCCGTGTTGTGCCCTGATAGGGGGCATGGACTGTACTCACCCCCTATCGGACGTCCGTGGATATCTCTTAACCTACGTTGTGGAAAGCATGCTTCACTGGGAGGGTCACAAAAACTCAAGTTGTCCAAACAACAACAAAAATGAAACATATATAATAAAATTAAAACACTTATACACCTCTACCGCCTAAAAACACATTAAACCACCAAAATAATGTAACCCAAAAGTTCTACTAAGCCATCAGTGACCCGACCACAGACAAGTACTCACCCGCGCTAAACATGAAGCACAGGAAGAACAATGGCGCCATCCCAAGGTCTTCCGTAGGCACACTTTGCTTTTTCTCGTTCGTTTCTGGCAACTGCTAGAAACAGAGTGCCTGAAACGGCCTCTTTTCTCAATTCCAAGATTCAGCTTTTTCCCAATTGCGAAAGCTGCACGTGCGAAATCCCTGAGGTTGGCATCTTGCGGACATGCCTTGTCGCGCTAAGCGAAACCTGACCGGGTCTTTCCACTGATGCTTAAACAGGCTTTTCTAAAGACAATTCGATCGACTGCCAAGGAATGCGAAGAGTCAGCCGCGGTTCTGTCTCCTCGCCTTCCGGCCAGCCGTCTAACATTTCAACCTAAGCACACAATCTTACAAAAATTATACCTAATAACTAATGAAATGGGCTCAACAGACGTACACGTCCATCATCAGGTGTCTCTATTTACTAAAACTGTTTACCGTGTAGTATGTGCAACTTCACCTGTCACATGTGAATGTGATATCTCCCACTTAAATAAATATACTCTATTAAAAGTCCCTAAAAACCATTAAAAAAAAAAGTAAAACTGAATTAAAATTTCAATATTTTTGCTTGGGGGCTGTAGTCGTTTTATCCAATTATTGTTTTGTTAGGTTTCGTTTTGCAGTGGCATGGGTGTTGTGTATAAGTAGTTCTTAATTGTGTTGGTGCCCTTATCATATATATATATATATATTTATTATTTACTGCAATTGGGCTTATGCCCGGTGGCAGTGTTTACAAAAGTGGACATACATTCAACAAAAATACATCACATACGTCTCAAGAAAAAACATACATCTCAAGAAATCACATACGTCTCAAGAAATAATTTTCACAGTACAGTACAAGTACAATGACCTAATACAAGTACCACTTCTCTTCTCTTCACTTCACTTCACTTGCTCTACTGATTTTGCTTTCCTAACCTTCTTTCTAAATATATGTGCTTTAACGGGGTGAGTCCCAATCACCCCTTCAGGTAACTGGTTCCAGTCAGCAATGGTCCTGTTCACAAAGGAAAACATCCCGACATGGACTTCCCATCATGGATGGTCCTTTGACTGTGTTCTTCAGCCTTCCTGTTAGTAGCGTTCTTTTTGTTCTGTGTATGTAGGCCTTATTTTTGTAGTCGTGATTATTACCGAATACACCTTAAAGAAGATATAGGCAAGTTGTGGAAACCTCCACACAGTGGATCAGCACACAATCCTATAACAACCACAACCCCAACAAAACACCAACAAACTGCATTTAATTGCAATATATTTTAAAACGATTTATTTGGAATTACTTAATATAAACATTTAACATGCAAAGATAACCTGCATTTTAATGTACCGGGGGCTCCTTCCTCTGAGGTAAAGCGGCAGGGGCGTGAAGCTGTCCACTCACCTCCAACTAGTGCCAAGGTCAAGAAAATGTGCATCTATACATTCACTCCCCCATACGCCTTCATGGCGTAGTGCTTAATTAGTTAAGCAAGGGGGCAAATTTTACCTGTTTTAGGATGTATTATGCTAATAAATAATATTTATTAATTCCTAATATATAAGTTTTAACCTTTAATAACAATCTTACTTCGCTTTAACTTGCCTATATACTTTTTACATTCTTTACGGTGTATTCGCTAATAATCACTACGAATATTGCGCAACATGGATCCATATTAGGGTAAGTTACTTAGTTCATGTTTTATGGAATTTCCCTGATGATGACCTCAGTAAAGGTCGAAACATGTAGCATACACCTGCTTACGAGAAACGAGCAAGAGACACCACAACACGTGTTTTGTCTCTGCCTTGGAAGATATCATTCAATTTGTATTAACGGTCCACTTCACATAAGTATTGAATACACAACAGGATGCAATCCATAAAGTTGACAATCATAAACTAGTTCCCTGGGATCCATTCTTCTTATCATCCTATCTCCTTTTCGGTCTCTCAAGTGGATGTTCTTTGTCATGTAACATGAATTCCCGCTTACCAACCCCATTACAAAACCTTGCTTTCGTCAAACAGACCTTATTACTAATTTCATTAAATGTCTTTTAATATGTGAAATACGCAAATGTACACAATGCAAGCAAAATACTCACAACCTTACCTATTTTAAATTCCAAACCTCAACCAACGATATCTACCTTCTACCGTAAACTTGCCTACCGGTTACACAATGTATTCCTCACTTGTCGGTAGGGTCGGAAGCTGAGGGGTGTTAGGGGGCTTGATGCGTCCTTGCCTGTAACTCGGTCACACTCCTTCTCACTAGCTACCAAAAGCAGAATGTTCAGTCCTGTTCAGTCTCTGTCAGACACCACCATGCCACAGCCAGCAGCAGTTACGCAGTTATTTAATTTGGTTTCATTAGTCAATGTCATACGACGTCAAACAAATTACATTAACGACTTACATCTAAACGAGGGGGTGTTCGTACAGTCACTTATGAGTATTATGAACGCTTACGAAGTTGGCAACATCCATTCAAGTTCTCCCCCTGAACAAGAGATGGCTGCCAAAGTCGTAAAGGGTTGCCTTGCATAGAGCGCATAGAGGTCGTAAAGCTACAATACACGTATTATAGACTACGAGTAAAATGTGTTATGATGATTAATCAGGTATACGATAAAACATATCAGAACCAATATAAACAATGACAAAACAGACTTGACAAGAGAAGATTTCCCATTCGATCGAAAATGGCGACATCTAAAATAGTTGTCACTGTGCTTAATTATGCACTACGTCATGAAGGCGTATGGGGTAGTGGACGTACAGATCCACATACTCTTGACCTCGGCACTAGTTGCAGGGGAGTTGTCAGCTTCACGCCCGAGCAGCTTTACCCCCAGGAGGACAGTCGCCGATACAAATTAGATAGGCTGGGTGAGCACCAGAACCAGCGTGGACTATGTGAAAAGGAGAAAAACCTTGCCCCTATCGGGATCGAACTCTGACCCCTCGGCCGTCCAGCCCGTAGACAGACGCTATACCGATTGCGCTATTGCCGACATGATCTGGAATAAATTAATATAACAGGAGGTTTTCACAGAGATGGCTATGTAGAGTTCTGTCTTGTGGTTTGTAATTGCGTGCAGTCCGGTGAAAGTCAACCGACGCTTCCGAGGAAAATATCGCCTCCATCTTCAGCTCTCTTGCTGACGGCTTCATGCCAGTGACTTGCTTCATCATTAATCATTAATTGCAATGATAACGAACAAGCTAGAAAAAATTAAGTTACCTGAAGTGAGTATATTTTATGAGTTGGCATAAAGAAATTCATAATACTTATTTATATTTAAAGGACTTGGAGTTCTATTCCCAGCAGGTGCAAGGATTTTTGTCTTCGACAGCATGTCCAGACTGACTCTTGATGCCCAACCAAACACTTACGCAATGGATAATGAAGGTAAAGACGGAAGTAGTGCTGATCTCTTGGCATCACCTAGCAGCAAGAATTCTTCAAGAAGTGGTGCTTAGGTAATGCACAGACTACTTCGCCTTTCTCTGTGCATGTTGCTATAATGGCACAACCGTTCTGGTAAGCCTTCTAATACGGATTAGGAAAAATCTGTGATTTTAAAGCATACGTATTTAATGAGAATGTCACGGCCGCGCCATAGCTCAAGCGGTTAGTCGCTGGCTTCCCACCACGGCGGCCCGGGTTCGATACCGGCTCTGGCCAAGTGGGATTTGTGGTGGACAAAGTGGCGCTGGGGCAGGTATTCTCCGAGTACTTCGGTTTCCCCTGCCAATCTTCATTCCACCAGTTGCTCCACAATCACCCTCACCTATCATCTGGGGCTGGTACAATAGGCCAGAAGTGGCCTCAGTACAAGAGAAATAGTCCCACCCCACTAGCAATAAAAAGAAAAAGAGAATGTTTTGAGAAAATTGAGATGTTTAAGAAGTGAGGGAATCATTTCTCCGGTTCAGTTGAAAAGAGCTCAGTTTTCTCAAAACACCCTCAAAATAACACACAGCTCCGGTACATTGTGATAAAAATATTTAATAAAACGTACGAGTAAAGGAGAAGAAGAAGAAGAAGAAGAAGACGACGACGACGACGTAGTTTTAAAATGTTCTAAAGCTTACATAATGTGAATTTCTGAAACGAATAATTAACTATACAGGTAAACACAGAAATAGATATTAAAATCGTAGAATTCTGAGGCGCGTTCTGTGAAGAAACGCGGTAATGAAGGCTAAAGAGAGGTTCTGTATTAAGTTTAATTTAAATAAATTTGTGTAAACCTTAGGCGGTGAAAGGAATACATGTATTTATGGAAATAAAACACGGACCCTGGAATAACTACGAACTTTAGCGATGCGATTCTCGAGCTTGTTAGTAATTTTCCTCGGTAACAGAAGTATAACCCGTGTCGTAGATTTACGGCACGTAAAAGATCCTCATGTCTCTAGGAGACCTTTGAGAAAAATTAGGCAAAGTTTCCCGCCCAAGTAGTTTCCAATGCCTCCGGTAGATGGGGAAGCATCGGGTACCACTGCCAGCCTCGCTGGCTGAACGGGGCTGATAGCGAGCACCAGTATCGGAAGGGTATGGCGACAGTAGAAATTAAAGGGGGACGCACAATGGACCAATAACTGGTCTAAGTGCATGGAGAAACCCACCCCATCTAATAATAATAATAATAATAATAATAATAATAATAATCGGCTGATAATATAGCACAGCAGGATGAACTATGGATGATATGACGTTCATGAAATTCAACAGGATGGCTATCAAAGCATGGTGCTCACTTTAAATCCCTAAAGGCAGTGTAAAATTTCGAGGCGGAAATTGTATTGTAATATGAATTGTAAAAATGTGGAACTTCAATTCAGGTAATTTCCATCTCATATTAACATGAAACAGAAGAAAGAGATGGTCATGCGATATATACATGTAGATACACACTACAACCTATCTAAAATGGACCCTGCACTATCCCAGTGCTTGATTGAGCTTAGCGTCATGAAGACGTGGAGGAGTTTCTTTCTTAGCTTCGGCACTAGATGGAGGTAAGTGGTCACCCTCACTCCCCGGTTGATTTATCTTAATGTAAACAGTAAACCTGTCAACAGGTATGGACCCTGTATACCAGGCATGTCCAACTTCAAACAGGTTGTGATCGACTTTTTAGTGTCAAAACTGTCAGTGATATACCACCCCCTCCTATCGTCGTACCTCGCTTTAAGCAAAAATATTGGTAAAAATAGCACGACACATGATGTTTGTTGTAAAAGCAACACACATTGAAAGTACAGACTACTTTAACACGTATTTTCCTTTCAAAATCTGAATATAATCATATTATATTACAAGTGAATTTACATGTATTTCACGTATAATTTCCTTATAGGCCTATGAGATCGACCAAAAATCGTCCCGCGATCGACGCGTTGGACATGCCTACTGTATACAATATGAATATCTCTTGATTCTGTTGGAAATCAAACCATTATTTCTCGGTCGTCCAGCCTACAGCCAACTCAATGCATCGACTAAGGTATCACTATTTCAAAACGGAAATTGTCTTAATCCGAAAACTTGTATGGTTCCAGAATTATAACGTAAAATTTTATATAGAAAGCCTTTACTGACATTTTCGCTTTTGATAATGTAAATATATTGTACTTGTTATCAAATTGCAAAGTATTTTCTTTAAAAAGAAGAATGAGGGAGGTTAAACTTTGCGCAGGGCCCATCGTTGCCTTGGCGCGGCCTTAAGCATAAATTGTATATTTTAAGGATACTCTGTTGGACGCATAGAACTTTTAATCCTCAAGGTTGCCTATGCAACCTACGCAAGGTATGATTAAACCGTTTCGGCTCGCTAGTCGCTCTTTCGTCACGCGATGATGACTTGCGTTTTAAGATTTTACGTTGTGTAGTCTCGTACATCGCAACCAACGTTCTGAAAGAACATTCTGAAGATGGAGCCAGCAGGTTACTCTGAAATGTTGGCAACGCTCTACTAGACAACATGGGGTGATACTCCCTGAAGACAAGTAATTTTCACAGTTGCCGTCGTGAGAACGTAAAATGACACATTTACTATGAGAGTCGGTGTTTCCCATAGGAATATGCAGGCAGGTTTCTTACAACCGTACTTTTTTGTACTGACCTCTGGAGTGAGGTAGGCCAATTGAGCACCAGCCTTCCAATGAACACGAAACTATCTGTAGCGTCTTATGGGCCTTAGTCCCCGAGTTCCAAGTAAAACTGGACGTCCCAACAGAAATAAATGCAGGGACACAGTTAAAAAATGTACTCCAATATTTATCTTCTGTTCGCATAAATTTTGCGAACTATGTTTCCTAGTATATAACTGCGAAGTAGCATTTCCACCTAAATGTAAAATAAAAATTAATAAACAAATGAAAATATTGTGACGTGTTGCGTTATAGATGACGCCCCTACCTCCCCGCCAGCCGTGACGTGCCGAGCGGAACCGAAGTGAGCCGAGTCCCAGCACGCTGGTCGCTATGCAGAGCGAGTAAACATCGGTGACGTAACACGGACACCGCAGTTGCCACGTAGCCGTAAACAACTCCCAACAGCGTTCGGAAAGGGTGGTTTTGCGAAGTGTTACGAGATAACTGATATGAAGACCGGCAATGTGTATGCTGGTAAAATTGTCTCCAAGAATCTGATGACCATTCAAAATTACAAGGAGGAGTTGACGCAGGAAATAGCTATTCATCGAAGTTTAAACCATAGAAATGTGGTGGGATTCCACGTTTTTTTTTAGGATAATCAGAATGTCTATATTGTGTTGGAACTTTGCAGGAGGTCAATGATGGAGTTACCCAAACGCAGAAAATTTTAATTGAGGCTGAAGTCCGATATTATATGCGTCAAATACTGCTTGGTGTTATTTCTCTCCATGAACAGAGGATTATCCATCGTGATCTTAAAATTTAATTTTATATAACGTTGCCACGCGCGGACTCTGCGACACCATATGTAGTCATTCGTGCTGGTGACTTTCTTTTAAAGACGACATACGTTGTCTTTAGTCGTTTAAAGGTTAAACTTGGCAATTTATTTCTTAATGATGACTTGGAAGTGAAGATTGGAGATTTTGGCCTTGCTGCTAAGATTGAATTTGCTGGAGAGAGGAAAAGGACAGTTTGTGATACACCCAACTACGTTGCTCCAGAAGTCGTGACCAAGAAGGGGCATAGCTTTGAGGCGGACATCTGGTCAATTGGCTGTATTTTGTACAC